TGACAGTTCAATAAAAGACACCCAGCTTAGATCTTACAACAAGCCAAGTCAGGGACATATGAAACATGTAAAAGGAGATGCTCTGGTCAAATGAAAACAAAATTAAACTCAGCCTACATGTCAAAACCACTGGAAACATCCCGCTGAACACACCATCGACATGGCGAAACGTGCCGGTGACGGCAGCACTAGGAAGGCTTTTCTTCAGCCGTATTAGGGAATCTGGTAAGAGTTCTTGGGAAAAGTAATGGAGCTCGATGCATTGGAAGAAAAACTTGTTTTCTGAACAAAATGTTTACCTAACCGCAGGACAATGACTGCAAGTATACAACCAAAGCAACAAAGAAATTACTTGGATCAAGCAATGTCCAAGTGTTGTGGCAAAACCTGAAAAAATGATTTCTGCAGATGTTCTCCTTCCAATCTAATGTAGCTTGAGCTGGTTGGCATGGCAAGACGGGCAAAATTATTCAGTCCAATGGTGTAAAATTGGTGGAAACTTGCAGCAAAAGTTAACTTAGTTAGGAGCTGGATAAAAGTAATACTATCAGATAATTTACCAAGGAACCAATGGAACCAATTAAAAAAAAAATATTTTTACTTCCCAGTTATGGGTTACTTATGTTATATCACATAAAATCTGAGTAATATCCATTAAAATGCATTGTTTTTAATGTGGCACAAAGCAAAAAAAAGTTCAAATGGAATAAGTACTTTTGCAAAGTACTGTACTTCTGTAAATGTAGTGTAAAGTCCAAAGACCGGCTATTAAAATACATCTAAAAGCAGACTGCAAAACAAAGCCTTGCTTTGCTTCACGTCCAGCAGATCTATGATTTTTGTAATTTGAAGCAGGAAAATAACAAAAAGCTCCGTGTTTGAGCTGTTTTATCTTATCTTCATTTTGAAATGGAAACTATGTTCTAAACTTTTGAGGATTTCTTTTAACGAATTAACTAAAAAAAAACAAAAAAGCATGACAAAAAAAAAAGTACAGCTAAAAGTAATGTTTATGTTCAGTCCATTACGCTGCAGTTGATTTTTGTGGACCAAATTGTGCGACAACTGCAACAAAAGGTAAATATTTGCAAAGCACAAAAATAGATCCTATTTCTCCTTTCTAGCTAAACTAAAACAACAACAACAAAAAACTATAAAGGACAGAAAATACATTTCTCACTTTTTATTTTCCATTGCACAGTAATCTCTATCTACAGAATTTCTAAATTTTGTGGCAGCAGATAAAGTCATAACATCCATGTGAAATTTGCATAAAACTGTACAAGAAAATTGGCTACAATGAGAAAAATACTGCACCCCACTGATGAGTTTTGAATCCGGGACAGAAGACGGTGTGTGGAACTACACAGGAGTCCCTCCAACTGTTTGAGTGTGTGGGTTGAATCAGGTAAGAATACTGCAGACTGTAACAAACCACACAGAAGCAGGTCCAAAAAAAAAAAAAAAAAAAGAATGACCTTG